TTAAAAAAAAAAAAAGAATTGAGCTATAAATGTTGAGGAGCAGACCACACTGACCAAGGAAAGAACTATCAGAAAGGAGGAGGTAAAACAATCTCCACAGCTCATATAGGACCAGGAATAGTGTCTGTTCCCATCAGCCAGAGTGGAAAGAGTTCCTAACTCACAGGGCATAAAGTAGAATCATGAAGAAAGTATCGCTTCAGAAACGGGATCAAATTAACTGTACATGAAACACTGTCCTAACAAACCTTTTAAAGCAAGCCTTCAAAAAAAAAAAAAAAGCAGCAGCCTTAAAGTGATCAAACAGATTCAGAGTTAACTGCACCCAAGGCAAAGCCCCATAAATATACTTTAAGAATATAATATTCAACAATGTAACATTCATAACGTCTGGCATTTAATACAATATTATAAGGCAAGCAAAGAAGCAGGAAAATACAACCCATACAAAAGAGAAAAATTAGTCAACAGAGATAGATTCATAAATGACACAGATTATAAAAATTAGTAGCTAAACATATTGAAGGTGCTATTACAAACATACTCTGTATGTTTAAGAAGGTAAGGAAAGAAACAGCATGATGAGCAGAGAAATGGAAGATACAAAAAGACTTCTGGAGACGAAAATATAATATATGAAATGAAAACTACAGCAGATCAACCACAAAAAGACAAGTATTGTGTGATCTCACTTACATGGGTAAAAAGAACACAGGAACGTATAGAAACCAAAATTTATTCGTGGTTAGCAGGGGCAAGAGGGAGAGGGAGAGGGAAAGGGGAAATTTTTTGTTTAGAGTGTGAGTGTTTGTTTATGGCAGTGAAATTTGGCAACAATTTTGGTGAGGGTTGCATAACATGATTAATGGAATTGATATCATTAAACTGTACACCTGAAAAATGTTGAATTGGTAAATGTATTATATTTATTTTTACAATAATAAAAAATTTTTCAGCAGATTAAATACTATAAAAGAAACACAGCAATAGAAACTATATAAAATGAAACATATAGAGAAGAATAAATACAGAGAAGAAAATGGAAGCAGCAGTCAGGACATCAGACGACAATGTATTGCACTGGGCAAATTGGCTGCAAAGACTTCTTTCGAGTGCTGAAGAGCAAAGATGTCTCCTTGAGGACTAAGGTGCACCTGACACAAGCCACGGTATTTTCAATTGCCTCATATGCACGTGAGGGCCGGACAGTGAATAAGGAACCCTGAAGAAGAATTGATGCTTTTGAGCTGTGGTGTTGGCGAAGCATGCTGAAAGTACCGTGGACTGCAAAAAGAACTAACAGGTCTGTCCTGGAGGAGGTGCAGCCAGAATGCTCTGTGGAGGTGAGAATGGCCAGACTTCATCTCACCTACTTTGGTCATGTTGTCAGAAGAGACCATTCCCTAGAGAAGGATGTCATGCTTGGTAAGATGGAGCGTCGACAAGGGAAGGAAATGCCCTCAAGGAGATGGACTGACATGGTGGCAGCAGCGATGGGCTCAAGTATAGCAAGAATCATGGAGCTGGCACTTACTGATGAAGATTAAGGAACACAGTCTGAAGTATGGATTACGTCTTGATATAAAGAAGACAAAAGATCCTCACAACTGGACCAATAAGCAGCATCACGATAAATGGAGAAAAGATTGAAGTTGTCAAAGAATTTATGTTGCTTGGTTCTACAATCGAGGCCAATGGAAGCAGCAGTCAGGACATTAGACAACGTGTAGCACTGGGCAGGTCGGCTGCGAAGGAACTCTTTCAAGTGCTCAGGAGGAAGGATGTCTCCTTGAGGACTAAGGTGCACCTGACACAAGCCATGATATTTCCAATTGCCTCCTATGCATGTGAGAGCTGGACAACGAATAAGGAAGACCCAAGAAGAGTTGATGCTTTTGAGTTGCGGTGCTGGCGAAGAATGCTGAAAGTACCACGGACTGCCAAAAGAACTAACAGATCTGTTCTGGAGGAAGTGCAGCCGAGATGTTCCTTGGAAGCGAGGATGGCCGGTCTTCGTCTCACCTACTTTGGTCATGTTGTCAGAAGGGACCATTCCCTGGAGAAGAATATCATGTTTGGTAAGGTGGAGGGTCGACGAAGGAAGGGAAGACCTTCGACGAGGTGGATTGACACGGTCGCTGTGACAATGGGCTCAATTATAGCAAGGATCGTGGAGCTGGCGTGGGATGGGCGGTGTTTCATTCTGCTGTGCATGGGGTCGCTATGAGTCAGAAATGACTCGACGGCACTTAACAACAACAACAACAACAATGTTGAGCATTTTTCATGTACTTCTTGGCCATTTGTATATGTGATGCCTACTGAAGTCTTTTGCCATTTTTAAATTTGCTATTACTCTTTTTGTTGTTGAGTTTTAAGGGTTCTTCATAATTTCTAGACACTAAACCATTATCGAATATATAACCAAAAATAAAAAACCAAAAAGCAACCCACTGCCACAGAGTCAATTCTAACTCATAGCAACTCTATAGGATAGAGGAGAACTGCCCCAGAGTGTTTCCAACACTGTATATCTTCACTGAAGCAGATTGCCTCATCTTTCTCCTGCGGAGAAGCTATTTTTCCCTTCAGTTCTGTCATTGCTTTCTTCACATATTTGGGCACTCTGGTACTAAGGCCTGTCTGTTCATAATTATTGTTTCTTCTCGATGAATTAATCATTTTACAAAAACTCTATTCCTATGTCATTCCCTATGCCTTTATATTGTTGATGTCACAAATTACAGCTTTATACAGTATGCACTCAATACAATGCCCTTCTTCAAGTCTTATAACAGTTTTTTACTTAAAGTCTATTATGTCTGATATTCATATAGCCACTTCGCCTCCTTTGGTTTCTGCAGCATGGATTATTTTCCATCTATTTGTATCTTTTTATTTAAAATGGGTCTCTTGTAAATAATGTATATTTGGGCCATAATTTCTCAACCATTCTGACAGTATGTGCCTTTTGATTGGGAGTTCAATCTACTCACATTTAAAATAATGACTGATGGAAAATAACTTACTTCTGCCATTTTGCTATTTGTGTGTCTTAGACCTTTTTGTCTTTTATTTCCTCAACTTCCCCCCTTTCTTGTGTGTTTAGCCAGTTTTTTGTGATGAATCATGTTGATTCCCTTCTCATTTCCTTTTATGTATCTTTTTGAAAGAAATTTTCTTAGTGGATACCATGGGGATTATTTTACAAGC